TGGGCATTTGGGCTGTTTTCAACATTTAGCTATCACATATTGTGCTGCTATAAGCATAGGTGCGCACATATTGCTGTGGTATGAGGCTCTTAACTCTTTTCAGAAGATACTAGAAAGGGGAATTGATAGGTCAGGTGGAAACTCTAGTTTAGTTTTCTGAGGAATCTCCATACTGATTACTATAGTGGTTGCACCAACTTACACTCCCAGCAACAGTGGAGAAGGGTTCCTTTTTCCCCCCAGACTGCCAGCTATTGGTTGATTTCTTGGTAAGAATTTTGCTTTCTTAAATGATAGGTCTGTCCCTTCAAGAGATGTTTCACTTTGTTCTGTATGCAGTTAAATGACTTTCTCCAGAACCTGACCATTTTAAAGCTTGCTTTTAATCTCTGTTGGTTTTGATTGGGTGTAAAGGATTAGCCTTTAGTCTGCAGCTAGTTTAGCTTGACTAGTAAGCTATGGGTTTTTCATAGAGAAGCATAAGACACAACCAAGGATAAAAAGGTAGTGAGTCAGGTTGGGAGGTCAGTGTACGACTTGAATATACTGGAAAGTGAGCAGGGGGCTGGGGATATAGCTCAGTGGTGCAGCGCCTGCCTGGCAAGCTCGAGGTCATGAGTTTGATTCCTGCTACCAAAAAAAAAAAAAAAAAAAAAAAAAAAAAAAAAAAAAAAAAAAAAAAGTGGGCAGGAATTAGCTGAGAGCAGGGAGGAAAAAGCAGGGTAAGGAGAACGGCACGCTGTACTGAGAAGACCTAGACATTGCACATACATTATGTCCGAGTAAGAAAAAAAAACTGTGATAGAGGTCAAATAGAAATGAAAGAGACAGAAAGGCATAAATAGAAAAGGTAAGCCTAGTGGACAGACTAGACAGGTGCAGTATTTGCTAAGAATAGGTTTCCCAACTCTTTAGATTTTTACACAGAGGCTTTAACAAAGCTGATCTCATTTTAATTTTTTAAGAATCACATTTGGAGTGCAAAAGATATAGAAATTTGGGCAGGGGATATAGCTCAGCGGCACAAGAGCCTGCCTGGCAAGCACAAGGTCCTGAGTTTGATTCCCGGTACCAACAAAAAAAAAAAAATAGAAATTTTACTTTATAACATTGTCTTTATCAATATGTAATTTGCTTAATCCTTCTACTCAATTTCCTTCTATTTGTTAATTTCTCCATTCTAGAGCATGGATTTTGGAGTTCTGAAGACTTGAGTTAAAATTTCAGTTAGCTACATGATGGCTAGCAAGTTCTTAATCTGATTTTCTATTTTCTTCATCCATAAAGGGGTGAAGGAGGGTGTGGATTTAAGTGTACTCAGAGAGCTAGTGTCAGTTAAAAAGACAAGTATCTGTTGTATGGCGTGAGGTGGAATACTCACATTTGTCTCCTTGGATGAAAGCTTTAAGAAAAAATTTCCGTTTCTAGCCCAGATGTCCTCAACCTCATAGTAAAATTCTATGAGGAACTATAAAAGACACTGATGCCCACGTAATTTAATTGGTTTGGGATGAGGCCTGAACATGGTACTATTTTTTAAAAGCTCTCTGAGTGTTTTTAACATGATCGCAAGGTTCTGTTGATCTAGCCAGGGAAAGCCAACTTTTTCATGTCTCTGAAATCAAGGTGTGTGTGTGTGTGTGTATAGGTTTGGCATACAAAACATAACATGAAAACGTATCTATTAAGAGAAAAACAACTGCAGGCCATAACAGACACTGACAAGAGCTGGCAATACACTTGGCTGACTTCTAGATTATATTTTTAAATGTTAAATCCACACCAGTTATGTAACATTGGGGCTAAGGTTTTACATAACCAATCCTTTTGAGTTTCTGAAACTCAAGATTGCTGATTTCATAAAAAGTCTGATTCTCATTTCTTTGAAAATTATTTCTATTGCAATTCCTTTTTATATGGGAAAGCTGCATTTTTTTTGTTTGTTTGTTTTTTTTTTTAACAAAGTAGTCTTTAAAAAATCTCCATTCAGGGGCAGGGTATAGCTCAGTGGTACAAGTGCCTGCCTGGCAAGCGCAAGGTCCTGAGTTCAATGCCCAGTACCAAAATAAAATAAAAAAAAAAACAAACCCATTCATTCTGAGATTAATTGACCTCAAAAATAGGACTTTGTACAACAACACAGTAAACAAAATAAAGTCAATAATGGAGATATATGACAGTTTTATATAACAATATATGGAATAGTATACGTTTTAGAATTTTTTTTTTTTTGTCTTTTTGAGATGGTCTTGCTATGCAGTTCAGGCTGAGCTCACTTTGTAGCCCAGGCTGGTTTTGAACTTGCAACAACCCTCCTGCCTTAGAAAAATTTTTAAACTTTCTTATGATACCTTTAAATTCACATTTCCTTGTTGTTGCACTTAAACTTTTTAGTTACTGGATTACATTAGCCAAGATTTCTTAATCTTCCAGATGATATTACTGAATTATTAGTAACAAGTTAATACCTCCTAATAAGTTTCTTATAAAATGTAAATAACATCTTCTGTACCTTAGGGATAGTTATGAAAATCTAAACTCAGTAGAGAAAAGCAGGTGGTGAAACAGCACTTTTATGAGAAGAGATACTATATGTAAGTGTATAGCATCATCCCCTCTGAAACAGTCATTTAGAAAGTGCTCTTTGGCCAGGCATAGTGACACGTGTGTAACCCTAGCACTCTTGGAGGCTGAGGTAAGAGGACTGCAAGTTTAAGCCCAATGAGGGCAACTTAGTGAGACTCTATCTCAAAATAAAAAATAAAGAGGTAAAAAGGGCTGGGGGTATAGCTCAGTGAAAAGGCCCCAAATCCATTCCCTAGTACCCCCTCCCCCAAGTTGTTTTCATATAGAGTGTGCAATATGAACTACACACCGGGAACAAAGTATATAATATTGGAAGGTGATTTCCAGTCACTATGCCAATTTTTTAAAAACTGTGCCAGATCCATGGTATCTGATCCTTAAAGAGCATTAAAGAGGTATTACATATATGAAAGGTAACTACTTTTATAGATAACATATTCATGAAAAGAACAGAACTAAATGAGAAGGGAACATTATGTGCTTAAGTTTAAGACTTGCTTTTGAAAATATTGTGCCTCCTAGATGTAAGTTAATAAACTGTTGGAACCTGTCACAAGGATCCCCAATACCTCTATACATCATAAGGAATCTTTATCTCTATATCCAAAGGATCCTACTGGCATCGTAAGGGATGGGAACAAAAGCTTGGGATCTCTAGTCCTATAGCTGCCTCGCTTCCCTGAAGCTGGAAGAGAGGCGTGAGATAATACTTGGAGAGTGAACAAGAGTCCTTCCTCCAACCTGACAAGTAAATGAGAGTCAGAGCTGCACAGGCCCCTGCGGGACAGGTGAAACGGCTGTGAGGCCATCACATATATTTCTTTGGGTGTCATTGTGGAAAAAGTTCTACTTTTCTCCATGTGTCAACACACACCTTTCAAAGGAACAGACTCAGACTTCCAGCTTTATGTTTGATTTGCAGTGAAGCCTAATGTGCTCTTTTGAGCAGAAATGGTCAACTTCATTTAAACTGGTTACCTTGGTCTGAACTAAAGAGAAATAGCAATAGCGTCCTAGTCGGCCTTCAGTTAGACCTCAAACCATTTTCAAGAAGTGGAAGGAAGTATACAGGTTAGGAATATGGCAGAAAGAAAAGACCTAGTATGTCAAACGAAGCAACAATTAAATAATGGAGATGTGGGCTGGGGATGTGGCTCAGTGGTAGGGCACTTGTCTAGCATGCACAAGGCTCTGGGTCCAATCCCCAGTACCACAAAACACAAGAACAAACAAAAACAGCTTAGAGACGTGTAAGGACCAGAGCACTTTAAAGTATTACATTATTTTGCTGGGTGTGGTGGTGATTTTAATGCCAGCCCTTAGGAAGCCGAGGCAGGAAAATCACGAGTTTGAGGCCAGACTGGGCTAGCTATATAGTGAATTCTTGGCCAGCCTAAACTACATGGTGAGACCCTGTCTGAAAAAGAAAAAAAGGGAAGAATAAAGGAAAAAAATATTACATTATTTTAAAAGTTCAGCTGCCTAGGTTTTTGAATGAAGCTTATTTTGGGTGCCAAACACATTAAATTCAGCAAATAATTAGTATTATTTTCTTTTCAATCTAAAAGGAAGCCCTTAACTTCAAGTCTTTGGTATTGGCATCAGATTATAATTTGAATAGTCCCAGGATTATTGTATAACTAGAATTTAACCTTTATACACATTGTACTGCCATATAAAATCCTTGAAATAGTTGATATTTATAGACAGAACTGTGTGGGTCTTCCTGCCATTATGGAAGTTCCTAGAAGCATCTTAGCTCAATAATAATCCATCAAGTATTAAATGACTTTACAATTTTAGTAAATATTAAAACTGATATAATTTGATTATAAATCAGTCTCTCATCAGTGGATAACTGAACACAGAGTAACTGAGAAAAACACTATTAGCATAAGAGGAAGCCCAAGAAAAGCACGATAAAAATTCTTGTTCATTCATTTATGAGGAAGACTAATCTTGACTGAGTCAGTAAAGAATGTCTAGTTTTTAATGTAATCTGTTTTCCTAATCTTCTTGGTGAGTGGAAACAGGTTAGGAGTGGGGAAGTAGTGGAATGAACATGAACATAAGTTGTTTTTTAACCACTGCCATAAAGGCTTGGGAAAAAGATAAACCCCAAATCACCAAAGAACATTATTTCCTTAAAATGTTTTCAAAATAAATGAGAACAATCTTCAGAACAATGTACAACCATGGGTAAGTGAAGACCTTCAGGAAGGAGGATATTTGGTATAACTCCTGGATACTACATAATCAAGACCCACGAGATCTGACCTGTTTCCAGTTTCCTGGCAACAGAACAACATGGGATGGCAGGATTTGGCACTTTCATGTTTTATCTGAAACTATGTTGTAGGAAGAGCAAAACATATGACTCAAACAAACAAAGAAATTCCAGATATACAACTCTATAAATATGTTATTTGATGTTTAATGTTTTCAGAAGTAACAAAACAAAAAGATTTATTTACTTAAGTAGGTTTACTTCCTCTGAATTTTTCTAAGAGTTAAAAATTTACTATCACATTTTATTTCGAACCACATTTATTGATTTAGAACCATCAGATTTTACTTCTGGAAAATCTAATACCTTTCAAAAAGTTATAATATTAGCACAAAAATTACTTCCTAACATTTCATTTTTAAAAAACTCTCTGCAGCCAAAGATTCCTATTTTTGAATTACAGTACTGCAAGGCACATACAGAACTCACCTCCTTCAAAATACACAAGATATACTCCCTGAAATAGAATTTTAAAATCCTTGAACAATTAGGAATACTACAAAGTTAGCAATTTTTAGGTAAAAACATTGCTCCTACAAGATCATGCACCTTTCTTAAAGTCAATCCAGCACGTATGTATAAGTAATCCTTTTTAAAAACATTTATACTTGAAATACAGATACAGTGATGCTGAAGACAGTGCTGAAAAGTACTACAGCTTGATAAAGTTCATGTTATTGCCTTTTTAAGAGACTGGATCATCTCTAGTATTTTTAAAGAGCTGAATTTAATAATGGGGTAATTACACCGGAAATAAAGGATTTTCTTTCTTTTTTTTAAAAATCAATATTTCTTTTACCTCTAGCATCAATTACTTTAGAAAGGATACTACAGGAATTATACATTTTTTGTTCAGTAAAACTGAACACAAATTATTTAAAGGCATCTATCAAATTTAACACAGCTTAATTAGAGACCTGGTACATTTCTTTCCTCTGAACATTTTGGTCAAGCATTTCTAACCATAAATGCAAATGGAATTTTAAGAGGTAGATTTTTTTCCCGTGATGCATTTTGTTAATATATGTATTGTCAAGAAAATAAAAACAAGCACTGTGTTTTCTTAAAGTATAAGGGTCTAATGAACAGAAAATAAAAAATAGAAATGGTATTTGTTACAGTCTGACATTTTAACAGTCATAGCATTGGAGGTTTTTGACCAAATGCATTTTGCATTCTCTCAAGATCAAAATACGAGTCTGCCAACTGTGTTAAATCCTCCTCCACCCCCTCCACCAGCTGGTCCGCAGCTTCCTGGTGGGTCATTGTCATCAAATCCATTGGGCCGAAATGAACAAGAGGCCGATGCAGCTTGCAGCGCCCGGGCTCGAGCATTCAACTCTTGTTCCTAAAATTAAAAATAATTTTTGTGAAATTAAGATCCTAAATACAGTGGATAGGTATATAACGTACACAATTCTAAAACTGCTTAAGCCTTAATAAGCATCCTTCAAATTTTAATAAGTGCTAAAATGTGAACATTAATCTTTATCAAATCCCACTGAAGAAAAGAATTGAGCAAAATTCGCCTGAAATAAGACCCTAAAAGCCATTCTGTTTCAATATCTTATTTTATAGCCAGGTATGGTGGTGCACGCCTATAGTCCCAGCACTTGGCTGGCTAAGGCAAGAGGATCACCTTGGGTTAGAAGCCAGCCTGGAATTCTAAAAAATATACAAAACATAAAATTAAAAGGTTACACAACAGATTGCCCATTCTTTATCAACTGGGCCTTTTTTGTTTTTCTTCTTTTTGACAGGATCTAGGTATATATGCTTCAGGCTGTCCTTGAACTCAATATGTAGCCCAGCTAGCTGCAAACTCATGGTGATCCTCCTGCCTCAGTCTCCTGTGTAATGGGATTACAGGTGTGTGACTCCATGCTTGGCAACTGGGGCTATTGTGAAAGTAGATGATTACAGTAAAAGTTATAAATAAGGGATGAAGCCTAAATTTCCTGTATTGTTTTCTTAGGCTATTTTTTAATAAACAGATCTCAGAAAACAACAAAAAGTAAACGGAAGCCCATTTCCTTACAGTAATACTTCAACATTTCCCTACCAAATTATTAGAACTTTTATCAGGAACCAGTCATACTCATTCATGTGCCAGGCACATATCAGGACTTCAACAATATTAACCTCAGAACAGTGTTAGGTACTTAGCTTTAAAGGGAACAATGTGAATAAACTATAGTGAATTCTTTTGGCAAAGTGTAAAACTGGATTCTAAAGCTAGGGGCCTACACACTCCTTGAAGCATGCCAGGATTCTGACAAATGCCCATATATTTTATTTTCAAATAGGATTGGTGACAATAAGGTCGGAAAGCCAGTGTTAAAAAGCATGACTATCTGGAAGAACTTTCAATATATATTAATAATAAAAATAGTATGATTTCTAATTTTTAAACTTAAAGTACCTTGACAAAGATAAAAGGTGGCAGAGTAAAGACAGGTAGAAACTACAGCCCCCCTGGGATCAAGGTACCTGGGAAACAAATAATAGATCTGTGGGGACTGGGAATGAGCTGACAGGAAAACTAGAAACTACTGTACAACTGGAGAAACTGAGCACAATGCATAGAAAAGAATGAAGCACTCTGGAAAAATAAACCCAGCTCCGAGGGAGGGGGACCTGTCTCCACTAACACAAGGTAAGCTTGGAGAGGGCTGGCAGTCCCAGGGAGAAACAGTGGACAAGGCTGGCAGTGCTAGCCCCAAAGAAAGCCCACAGTTATTGTACAGTGCAAAGCCAACATGGGGTTTTGTACTCTAACTCCTTCCACATGGCAGGGTAGAGCTGGAAAAAAGAAAAAATCCAGCGCAGCACCCAACATCTGAGTGTTCAGTGAGGAGCCATTTTGGAAAAGGGTTATTTAAAACTGAACTACAGAACTACTACGTTTCATGATTTCTCCACTGGGTGGGAGATGGCTACAAGACTCAAGGAGAGGGCTCAGGCTAGACACAGACCGCTGTAAAATTTAAGCTCAGGTTGGGAAGGACGTGGGAGTCCTGCCTCTGTGGTGATAAGCAATTCGTACGGTTATCAGATGGGGCTGGGTCTGAACGTGCTGGCACTAAGTCTAGCAGACTGGTCGATCTCCCCGCTTGGTTGGCTATACCCAGCACAGAGCGCAGTGGTCTGTTTGCTTTCTCCATCTATGTCTTGTGATCAGGGATACGTCTTGGCATGGACAGCTGCCACAGCCTGGGGTATACAGACAAAGGGGTCCTTGGAGGTGGGGGGCACCTCACAAATCCACAGGAAATAGAATTAGGCAGAAAGCACTGACTCGGGGTGTGCAGAGGCACATGGAAACCTGGAGAGGCTGGAGTGAATACAGCTCTAGGGTGGACACCAGTGACTAACTACCAGCAGGAGCAAAGGTGGGCAGGATTCAGCATTCACACACAAAAGTGTGAGTGCAGAAACGAAACAGGCCTTAGCAGTGACTTGCTAGCTTTCCCCTGTATCGGGCAGATGCTAGTACTACAGACCTTGAGCAGAAACCTCTCATTCAAAGCACAGAGGAAGTTGTCTGGACTCTTTCTTCATTGGTGTTTTCTTTTTTCTCATTTGTAAAACTTCTTTTTCTTCTTTTTTTGTTACATTCATCTAATTCTATTAATGTTTTCTTATTCCATAATAGGATCCTTTATCTCAATTTTCTTTCTTCCTTTTAATTTTCAAAATTTTACTTCTCATTTTTCTTAGCTCATCCATCTTTACCAGTATTACTGCTTTATTAATCAGATATTTAACTGACTCTGGGTTATTATTGTTGAATTACTTTCTACTGTTAGTGGTGGTATAGTTGTTGCATTTAAGATAGTTACTGTATATCAATGCTTGGTCTGTCTTTGTGTATATATTGTAATTATACATTCTTTGGGGGGAGGAGTGTTTTTTTGAGATAGGGTCATGCTATGTAGCCCAGGCTGGCCTTGAACGCACTATGTAGCCCAAACTGGCTTTGAACTCACTGTGATCCTCCTAAGCCTCCTGAGTGCTGGGATTACAGGACTGAGCCACAACACACAGCATTTTTTCTATTCTTAGGGGTGATACAACAGTAGCTTTTATTGGTTCTTATGGTATGTCAGTACAGTGGCACCTCCATTTAAGAACTTAATTTGTTTAATGGTTTTAGGGAAGATGGCCATGGTCATGTCTGTCACCTGATGTGGAGTTTGTGAATGGAAGCAACATTTTCCTGTTTTTGTTTGTGAACCAAATTGTTTGCAAACAGAAGTGTTCATGAACTAAGGTATTACTGTATCCAGTTTGTCTTTGACTCCATTATTGTTGCTGATTTTGATATGATTACCAGGATGGCATAGCTGTTATTATTAATCGGTTTTCACTATATGTCAATATCTGGTTTTCTTTGTGTCACCAATAATACTGTGGTTCATTTTCAGAGAACAGGGTGCTGGACTCTTCAGAGCCCAAATCAACAGTGGTGACCAGACGTGGGGCAGAGGCAAAGACCTATAGACAGCCACATCCCGAGCTTATCCCTGGAAAGCAGACGGTAACTACAGAGCTCTCCAAGCCAGCAACACAGTATTCTACTACTCTACAGTCAACTCAAAACCATCAGTAAAAAAAACAACCAAAGGAATCCTGAAAAAACAAGGCAATAAAATGCCTTTGAAAACTCCCAACTTCCTCAAAGCTGACCCATGGGCATCAAGGGGGAGGGGGAATCAAAAGCCAAACACTGAATTACAGTGATACCTCGGTTGAGGAACTTAATTCCTTCCACGATTCTGGTTACAAACCAAACTGGACTGTCCCACCAGGCAGCTTTTAATTAATTTACTTAGTAAAAGGACCGATAAAAGTGATTAGATCCATTTGTACAAGTCACCAGTGGTACAAGCCACCCGATGGGACAGTCATGCATGTACCACTGGTAGTACAAACTGCCCAGCATGGAGACATACAAATTACAGACCATCATGAACACGTTAATGATATTGAGGCCAAAAAAATAAAACAAACAAGCAGCAAAAAACTCCAAATAATTATTGAATCAAAAAGTTGGTTCTTTGAAAGAATAAGCAAAATAGATGAACCCTTAGCCAATATTATCAAAAAAGGTGTAAAGATCCAAATCAACACAATTAGAAACAAAAAAGCTGAAATCACATGGGAAATGCAAAAAAGAAGATTAGTAACTACTTTGAAACCTGTACTCCAATAAACTGGAGAATCCAGAAGAGATGGATTGATTTCTACAGAAATGAATTACCCAAAATGAACCAAGAAGATTAAGAATCCTGAATAACCTAATTAATAGTCAATGAAACTGAAGCATACCCATTTTTACAGCAGCACCAAGTATTCTGTATGTCCATGAACAGAGGAATGGATAAAATGTTTTTATACACAATGGAGTACTTTTCTGCTACAAGGAAGGATAAAGTTAAGTCATTTGAAGGAAAATGGATGCAACTTGAGAGTATAATTTTAAGTGAAATAAATCAGACACAGAAGCTTAAACATCACATGGTGTCTCACATGAAACCCAAAGTATAAATAAATTAAAGAGCAAAATAACAGATAAATAATAGGAAACAGGGAGATTGCCATTTATCACATGTGAAGGAGACTAAAAGATGGAGGGAGTGGGAATGAGGGGAGGGGTATGGGATGTAAAAGGAATTAAGGAATGTTATGCAGATATACCAGCTCCCCATTAGGATCGTAATAATTACATACTGCAAACATGTACAACAAAAATTTAAAAAACTAACAACTAAAAAATGCCTTGACTTCACCACGCCACCTTGCGAAGTAATACTATTTTATAATTTCTAGCTGTCATTTTGTAGTTAACTATTATTTTTCTTCAGAAGATGTTCAATTTTTCATTATGCATGAAAAACCTCAGGCTTATTCTCCCACCTATCTCTCACATTTTGGACATTTTATTTCTCTGCAGCATATAGTGACTGCCATCTGACTCTAAAACAGAAAATGATTAAGGAATTACATATTCTGATGGCTAAAATATATCTTCAATAAGAAATCTTTAATAGAATAGCCTAATAAACCAATCTGATAGGGCTTTTATAACTTAATTTGCAGAATACTTTTAAACAACATTTTCTAGTTGTTTACTATTATTTACAACATTTGTAATAGAAGGATCCCACATAGTATATTTTCCAGATATTATATATATTAATTTAGTCTTCAGAGTACAAAATTACCTAAGAATTACAGATGTTTTACTGACAGAAATAAAAGCTAAATATAAATCAGAAGGAGGCATCAAACTACAAACTCAACTCCTCAATGTTATAGCTCTGTAACTTAGCACCTTAAAGTACCCAAACAATAAAACTTTAAATCTGTATCTAAGAAACTATATTTGATTTCAGATATACATGATACTCAACAGAAACTGAAAGAATATGCAAGGTACAGTTCAGTAAGTTCTTTGTCTAAATGGTACAACAATTTTTATCTATACTTTATTACAAAGTGATTCTCTCCTAGAAGCAATGTTGATGGACACATAAAATTAGTAACTTCCTTGCTTCTGACACCTATGAAATCTGTATTCCATTTCAAAATACAAAGCCTTTCAAGAATGTTTTTTAGAATTTATTATCTATACATATAAATATATGGCTGGCAGAGAAAAATGTATGTTTTCAACAGATGAGCTTATAGATAGAAGAAAAAACTGACTTCCACTTTGTCTTTCATTATAGATGAGAACCTTGCATACAATGTCAAAATTATGATTCCTATAGCATATGTAATTTATACCATAAATTTATAGCAAGTATTAAAATTAAATCTAACTTCGCAGCAGACTATAGATACAGTGACAGTACAGAGTTACTGATGCTTCTTTGGGACAGATTTAAATCTCTAATGCAAGTAAAACTGCTGATATTAAATTAATCCTCTTTTAACTTTCTTTAAACCATAAATTTTATTACATATATTCACTGTATCCGTAATAGTAAAAAAATTAAAAATTATAGACTACTGCTGGGCATGGTGGAGCACACCTGTAACCCCAGCATTTGTGAGGCTAAGGCAGGAGGGTTGCTGTGAGGTCAAGGCCAGCTTGGGCTACACAGCGTGACCTTAACTCAAAAAACAAAAAAGTTAAACAAAAGTTAAACCACCATCTTCTCTAAAGAAATTAAGAAAAGAAACCAAACAATAAAGTCCGGAAAGCTTTCCTTGTGGCTGATGCAGACCAGGTGAGCTGGTAATCTCCCCAGTGCAACTGTGGTGGTTATTATACAATCTTTCTCTTCCTAGATTTTTCTTTTTTTGGTACTAGGAATCAAACTCAGGACCTGGCGCTTGCCGGGCAGACACCTGTGCCAAGGAGCTGTTATCTCCTGCTTTTACTGCATTTTAACAAAAGGGATAGCTTTTACAATCTAGACATTAAAATAATGTAGATATGTACTTCTATAAGGAAGTTGGAATAAAGGGGAAGAAAGAAAATAGGACAAAAAAACCCTTTCCAAAATTTGTTTTGAAATGCAGTTTGCATTCTTTTCCTGTCATGCTAGAGTGCAGAGTAGAAAATGGTTTCTCATATAGGACTTTATAGTGAGACTCTTCAACATGACTTTGGCCAGTCACCTGTAAATCTAGTTGTGATTAGATTTAATTTAAAAGTGGTATCTTTAAAAAGTGAATCCTAAAAAATGCAAAATCATCCTACCGTGGGTTTCTACAGTGTATATGAAGTATTAGAGAAGAATGCAGCTAACCTGATATGTATAAAATGCTAATAACTTCATTTGCAGTATTGATCCACAGTAGAGGAACTCAAAATGTTCACCCTACACCCTCATACTATTTAAGGTTTTACAACTGTTTTGTAAATAGGTATAATGCTATTTCTTATAACTAACATGCTATCCTAGACATACTGAATCATAAATGAAATGCTTTGTAATATGAAACACTGAAATGGGCACAAATTTTGAACTATGCCTCATTTTAGGTGTAAAACTAAACATGGGAAAAGACCAAAAACACAGATACATACTTTATGTGTTCAAAACTAACAACTGAGTGTTGAAAACTGCTGTAAAACAAATGTCAACACCACACTTCTCCAGTGACTGGCAATTATTATACTCATCAGCACAACAGAATAAACAATACAGTACTCCCAACACAAACTTAAAATACCACAAGGACTTGGTTAAGTAATATGAGAAACTTCACAATTCAAGCCTTTATCATCTACATTACTATATTTGACAGTAAATAATCATAATCTAAATTATATTTAAGTTTCTAATTATGGTTGAATTATTATAGTTTGCTTTAAAAAGGCTTAAGTATAGGCAAATAAATTTGGATATGGTTTTTGCATTAAAAAAACAACTCGATAATCTGAGACTGAAGATGGCAGTCAGAACACTGAAAAACTGAACTCATCGAATACTTCACAGGTTATGTAACACAGAAGCCTTAAAATAATAATGGAAAGGGTGGGTCCTCATGCTCCACTCTTGTGTAGTCAGAATGTACTGGGGTAAATGACAAGATAAACCGCAAAGTCATTTTGGATCTAGACTGCAATACAAGGAGTTGTTATGACTACAAAAGTGCTTGGCAATCTGATCACATAAGCTGATTTTTTTGTTTTTTAAAACCCAAGTCTCTCATTAAATAAATATTTTACCTAATAACTGATATGTAAATCATCTCTTTCCAAAACTCTAGATTGCACTGGGCCTTACTGTCTACATTTTATAATACAGAAGCTTTCAAATTAAACCTCCAGAATCATGAAGATCAAAGCTACCTCTCGGATCCTCTAGAATCATGAAAGTCAATAAATAGTGCTATGATAGCAAGCAAAACAAGATACAAATGTATAATTTTATTTCTATTACCTTGATAATACACCATTTGCCTGGATGTCTTTGGTAGTCAACCTGTTCTAACAAAAATTCCAAATTTCTATTTTTCTTTAAAGTTAATTATTTTCATGTCACTCTGGAATATTGTTATAGTCCTTTAAAAATGTATCATGTAGCATTATTTGGGTATTTTACAATGCAGTGAATTTCAAAGTTTGTGAGAACCTCCCTCTAAAAATCAGTACTATCATGGCTCATTTTTCTTATTCTGCCTATATCTTTCAGTTTTGTGACTTTCAAACAAAATTTTTAGAAATTTCCACATTTAAACTCATAAAATCACTTGAACAATCTCATTAATATACCTACAATATCTTTTCCTACAATTTCACTATAATTTACTGCTGGTCCTTTCTGTTGACAGCAAGTTAGCAGATTTCACAGAAAAATACTTTCAGCAAGATCTTTACTTTAAATACGATAACCTCTTGAAACACATGTGCTTACATATAAATCCATCTCATGTGAAATGTATTATTTACATAAATATGTATATTTATTTACTAATTGATTTTATTGCCCAGGTGCTCAAAAACTATATTCTTTCTTTTTAGTGTTTATCTTGCTCATCTAAATGCTGATAAATAGCCCTCAAAATATTTACACAAAGAACTTATAGAAATCAATACCAAATTTAGCAGTTGTTTCTCCTGGAGGGTGGGATAGAGGAAAGAGAAATGATACTTGCATTTGATTAAAATTTTTTATGTTCTTGTATGGCAGAATTGTAGAATTATCTTTTCAAACTAAAGACACACTTTCTGTAATTACAAACAATCTAAGCATACCTTTTTTTCTGAGACAGTCTCGCTCTGCAGTCCAGGCTGGCCTTGAATTCCCGCAGTCCTCCTGCCTCACCCTTCTAAGTGCTGGGATTACAACACCCAGGCCTAAGCATATCTTTTATAATTAAAAGAAATGGGTCTTTTATGGTGTATCTAATTACTACTTTTCACAATCAATTCACAACATTACAAGTATGGCAATTTAATTATACAGACTGAGTTTACCTCATATGAATCTAAACTCAAGCTTCACAATTCCTTGAACAGTTTTTTTGATTTTAAAATTAGGGCCTCCAATTAAACATATGTCAACTGCTTAATATTTTCCACAAACAAGGAAGTTAATCTATTTCCAACTTACCTGTAAATATAGTTTATTATCTTTTGTTATAGCATCCATAAGTTCTTTCTGTAGAGGTGGGTCTCCATTTACCCAGAGTCCATTGGTTGGATTACTACCACTTAAACCATTAGTGCTGTTCTGTTTTTTATACAAAAGCACATAAGCTGTGTCCTTTGGAAATCTACTGGTAATTTTCTGTACTGACTGAAATGAAGTAAATGTCACTCTGCTGTCATTAAATAAAAACCACTCTTTTGACATTTCCTTAGTTTCCAAATCCTGTTCAATAACAGCACTGGGGCTGTCTCTCCCCATGAAATGGTTCTGGGAGGGTGCCAACGCCAGAGTTTCAGACTGGGGGCACATCTCATACGAAGACTCTGTACCTGTGATGTTTCTGGCATAAGAGTAGTAATGCCCACTTTCAGAGGATATGCCAGAGTGAACAACAACAGAACTTAGTAGGTAGGGCACCAATTTTGGGCAGAAAGGTTCTTCAGTCCTGGAAGGCTTTAATTTTTTAGCAAGATTCTCACTAATATCACTGAAGTCAACATCAACAGACCAACTCTCTGACAATGAAGAGAAAGAAGTAGTTCTTTTAACTGGCAACTCCAAAACCAGTGGCAGTGACACGTTGTCTAAAATTTTTCTTCTCACGTGATACTTCTGATCATATGAAAATCTCAGGAGAGTAAGAATAAGGTATTCAGGTTCCTCTGTGATTTGCATAGTTTTCTCAGCATTCTGCAGAGAGGCACAGTTTTCACAATAATATTGGTTGTCACCAGTAAGAATCTCTGTAGCCAAAAAATAATTTAGTAAGTCAGTTACTGAAGGTGTATTTTCACCACCGGGTTTCTGAGGTACGTCTTTATTAACAAGAATCTTGGTAGCCTCATTAGAGACAGAAGTGTTTTCAGTACAGTGGAACTCATCAGGAGGACTGCCTATTTCATTCACAACTGAATCACAGACAAAGGCAGCTGTTGCTGGGTTATAAACCACTGGTTCTTCTGAAGGACCAGGTCCATTGGCTTGCATCAGGCCACCATCTTGTGCACTGGGTAACGATGCTGGCTCTTGGAAAGACAAGTCTTCCATAGCAGGGGAAGGACAAAAGGCCAGTGAAAGGTCTGTGAAGGCTTCTACTTTTTGGGAGGTGCTCCTGCAGTTCAAACAACATACGTGAGTCTGTAGTTTTCCTCCAAACATTCTTTCTATTAAAGTCTTCTCACTGTCACTTGTGCAAGGGGTCTCTGTTAGTTCAGCCGCCTTACTGGCTCCATCCTGGAAAGAAGCTTCATTGAACCCCAGGCCATCAGAAGGCTTGTGTGAGGACTGAGCTTTCAGGATCTTTTCTTCTTCATGGAGTCTGCAGGAAAGACATCACGTTATATAGCTACACTTAAGTTTACATGTGTTTCTATTTACAACTATTGGTTGCTTATTCAAATTATTCCAATCAAATGTAATGTTTAATTAAAAGATTATGTTTTTCCTCTTTTTATTGAGAATATTATTGACTAACGATCCTAGAAGAAAAGTTAAGGAGCTACTAGTATTCTAATTCTCATTATACTCTCTTCATACTGCTACTATAGCATGTATTACATTACAGTTAATTACACGTATCAACTCCTTATCTTACATATCTCTGCTTGGCATGTTATAGAAGTCCGGCACAAAGAAACCATGAATATACCTTTGGTTAAAGAAAAAATTGCTCAGGCTGAGTCCAACTTATTTTACTAGCAGTGACTCATAAACTGAAGGGAGCAAAGATGGTGATACAAGAAGATAATGGATTGCATTAATCAGGCGCTAAGCAGAGTAAAATACACAGTATGTTTACAATTACAAATTGGTCTAAAGAAGTGCTTCTCAAACATCTTTTCTATATACTTAAAACATGCAAGAGCCGAAGAGGTTTTGTTTACTTGCAATGTAGCTATTCGTATTTACCCTGTTCAAAAATTGAGACTGTGAGTAATAAAATATTAACATTTTTAAAAGCAATAAAAGCTGTGACAGTTAATCATACTGGTCAACTGGACTGGACTGAGAAATGCCTAGGAAATTGCACTTTGGGGCGTGTCTGTGAGGGTATCTGCAGAGATGACTGGTAACGGGACAGCACACAGGCACAGCGCATCCCTGAGCATGGCAGGTCTGTCCACGCTGGGGCCTGAACGCAATAAAAGCGGGAAAAAGGCTGCTGGCATCACCTCTCCAGATCGCTCTGCTTACTGGCAGCCATGAGGCGAGCAGATACCCCGGCACATCCTTATGCCATGATGCTCTGCCACCCACAGGCCTAAAAGCAACAGAGTAGCTGGCCACGGACTAAAACCAGAAACTGAGCCAAAATGTTTCCTCCCTTAACTTGTCATTGTCAGGTATTTTGTCACAGTGAAGAAAGCTAACTAACACAAAACGCTTTACAAATAAATATAAATAATTTTTTAAAAAAAAGTTTTATTTGTACCTTCCCCCCCATAGTGAGAATGTCAGTGTTAAGTATCTGGCTTCATACAAGATAGCTGGATCCTCATATTTGGTTTGTATTCTATCTATCACTCTATGGTTTTTTTTTTTTTTTGATGAAGTATATTAAAAAAATCTAACTTCCCACAAATATGTAGCTAGAAGAGCGAAGACCCCACAGATTCCTAAGTTTTGGGAAGCCTCAGGAGCAACTGTTAGACTTTGTTAATAGCTGGTCTAAAATAAGAAAATCCAAAAGAGGAATCCAATTAACACTCTAAAACTATACCATAAAGGCAAGGGTATTTTAAAGATCAATACCCGAAATATATTTTCAAAAGTAAGAACAATTTTAAATGGAAATAAACTGATGAGAAAACACAATTCAAATCATAATCTAAAAGGGCCAAGGACATAGCTCAGCTCAGGGTCATTTTATTACTCACAGCGCCTGCCTGGCAAGCATAAGGTCCTGAGTTCGATTCCTGATACCAAATCAGTCGATCAATCAATCAATCAATCATAATCTAAAAAATACTTTTACCTGTCCAGCAGAAACCTGAGGTATTCAGAGCAGTCTTGCTGTGATCTGGGAGTAAACCAGGGAGGTCTGGAAGCCTCAAAGAATATCCGGGGTGCATATGCTTCCCTCTTTTGACAGCAGTAAAGGAAACACCAAAAAATGATTCTCACAATGAAACAACCATAATATGTAAGGCTTAATAAAGATTACTTGAAGTTAATTGGCTCAGTTTTAACTAAAGTGTCAGACTTGGGGGTGGGTTAGAGTTTAGTCAAAGCTTTTCACCCTGCAGAGGAAAACTGAGACCTAGACAAACTATGGGACTTGCCCAAGGTCCTACAGCTACCCAAGTAGCAGAAAGAATATTAATTAGAATTCAGGTCTCTCTAGCTCTTGATATAATGGCCTCACATTATACCTCTATGACAGTCATGTATTTGAGTCCCTAACTTTTGAAAAACCATATCTGATACAGGTATGTTAGTTAGTGAATATATATTATGGATAAAGGAATAGGGGAATACTATACAGACCTATGTGTATGTATTTTTTCTTTTTTTAAAATTTCCTAAGTACATGTACAGAATGTGAGCACAGCAGATAGGTACTTTGCCAATTTCTCTCTCCTCCTCTCTCAATATTGTTTCCCATTTAAGAAATTTTACTTGAGATATTTCTCAGCTTGTAAACAGTAAACCAAACATTCTCAACAAGTCACTCCCATCAACTATGAATTTCTCTTCCTTTCTGGACCTATTCTTCTAATATTATTTTAGGCCTCTGTGAGATAAAGGCAATCAAAGTAAATCCAGGAAATAATACTGTAAGTTATGTGTAAATATTATGCATCATTTGTATATATATCTCAAAACCTAAACTGAAAGTTCTATGAACATAAGTTTCCCCTGAAATGCTTATCACAAACTACAAACAGATACATATAGTATCTCTTAACAGATGCCTATTGAATGATTATTCATGATGTGATCTTTTCTAGTAGCACTAACTTTATTTTCTTGAATTAATCTGTGGCTAAAAAGATCATCACAAAATTTTAAGTTCTAAAACTTTTTTAAGTCATTTGATGTACAAAGATTTTTAAATTATAATGAAAGTGGACACAGAAGGGAGAAAAAAGAAGGCAAAACACCCAAAATTATTTTACTTGCTTGTTACTGTGCAAATCTTCATTCAGTATTTGTAAATTACAAAAGACAAATTTAAAGTGACTTCTTCCTGGAAATTACTTATTGGATAAGAAATTAATCAGCATGATATTCATCTATAATAATGGAAAGCAGGGAGAAGAAATAAAAACTCAGGTATACCCCAATATGTAGATATTTTAGGCAGTGGCTTTAGTGCTTCGAAGAATTCTCATCTTATGTAAGATATACAACAATTTCATTACTTGAAAATAATGTGAACCAAGTGCAGTTACCATATACATACTACATAAAGATAAACCCACCTGTGTATGAGCCAAAAAGGCAAAAAGATGCTGCAATTTTTTCATTAATGAATTGCATCCATTTAGATTTAATGCTAATACTTGTCTCCTGAAACTGAAAGAGAATAAAATACAATGATTTACATCTGTATGTGTAAGTACATGTGTGTTTTTTAAAATAGTATTTTTGAAAAGCTAAAAGAAAACTGGTTTAAGAACTTACCAACCTCCTCAAACCAAAACTTCACTTATATGATAGTCTTTTGTATAACAAAGTTACCTACGTAACACAGTGAAGAGGGGTGGGGAGAATGACACTAAATACACGCTTGCTGTCTGGTCTTGCAATGGCCTATGTGCCCTCCAACACTGTTTCTATTGTTCTGGGTTAGCAAACAGAAATAGATTATGCTGGTTAACACTGACTGCCTCCTCGATGAGATGTGACTGGATTGTGTTACGGGCTTCATCTATAGGCTCAATGAGCTACTGAGGAGATAGGGCCTAGCGTGCAGCACAGAATTATCATACAGAACATATATAAAGGAACATGAAAGAAGAAAAAAACATCAGAAAAATGCACAAAGATTATTCAGAAAAGAAACAAATGAACAGAAAAAAATATGAGGATGGTCAGTTATACGAAAATTAAAACAAAAGGACAAGCTGTTGTAGTGGCAGTTATCTGTAATTCCAGATACTTTGGAGGTGAAAGTAGGAGGAGGAGGATCACAAGCTGAAGGCCAGCCTAGGAAAATGAAACCAAAAAAATCCCCAAAAGATATTTCCCTAAATGGGAAAAAATTAAAAGGACTAATTACATCAAGCGCTGCCGGTGGTACAAGGTCACACTTAGTAGTGACAGTTATTAGCACGTACATTCAAAATGCTACAGTCTTTTGGGAAGCAATTTGGTATCATCTAAAACCCACACCTGCACATGGATGGAGAGATGTTAATTATGAGGAAAACAATCTAATATTCAGTAATATGAGTATGGTTAAATAAATCATGGCACATTTATTTATTCAGAATGATAAACCACAGATCTGTATTGCCATAATGTTCACACATTTTTAACAAAAATTATTAAGTGATAAAATCAAGTAGCTAGAAAATACAGAAATAGGATTCTCTGCAAATAGTTTCTTAGAGCACTTTTTTTAGAGCAGTTTTTTTGTGTGAGACAGGGTCTCACTATGCAATTCAGGCTGGCCTTCGACACACAATATAGCCCAGGCTGACTTGAATTTGCAGTTATCCTCCTGCCTCAGCACCACCATGCCTGATTGCAAGTATTTATTTATTTTTTTTTTGGTACTGGATATCGAACTCCAGACCTTGCGCTTGCCAAGCAGGCGCTTGTGCTACTGAGCTATATCCCTGGCTGTATTTTTTTAAAAAAGAAAACAATGCAATTGTTTTTGTACTACATATGGATTTATAACTGTAGAAAAAAAAGTTCTGTAATAAACCACACAAAACTGTGAACAAATTACCTTGGGAATGAGTATGTCTGATTTTTACGCTAAATATTTATATATTTATTTTTTAGCCATGAAAAACTTATGTTACGTAAGAAACAAAATATGCTCTCTTCCCATTCTTAGACAGTATTATTGGCTACCATGCAATAACATGCATTCTTTGAATTGTTTTGGAAGTTACAATTGCTTTACATCTCTGCTTTCTCCATCATTTATAAAATGAGATAGCTGGCTAGAAGACCTCTGGTGGTGAGATACTGATTCTTTAGATTTAGGCCTAGTGTTATTTAATGTCTGAAAGTGAATTTTTTAAAAAAAATTCCAAATACTAAACTCAAAACACTTGAATGCTTATAACATATTCTGGGGCTAAGAAATAAACTAAAGCTAACTATAATAGTTTATGAGTCATCTAGGTGGACATAACAACTTATAAAAGCTTGGAACTCTATTTGCAAACATCTTTGGACAAGCTCCATGAATATTTGATTGGTACTGAAGAGAAAATGTTAACTCTATTTTTTATGGGGAAAAGTTCATTGTGGTTGTGTAGCACTATGGATAGCCTTCCTGTACCTAACAATCTGACTTCCTATTTGCTTGATTGCAAAAGAAAATGGATTTGAAAGTAAATTCAGTGACAGGAAAATACATACTTGTTCAGTAACTACCATCTTAGGGTGGGAAGCACAGATGAACTTCTTACAAGGCAAGAAAATAATTGCTGATCTGATAGCAAACTACCTATGAGCACATAAAACTAAGTATGAGCCAGGCACGGCGGCTCAGACTTGTAATCCCGGCACTTAGGAGGCCAAGCCAGGAGACTTGCTCCAAGTTTGAGGCCATCCTGGACTACATAGCAAGACCCTGTTTCAAAAAAAAAAAAAAAAAAAAACCAAAAAAAAAGCCAAGAAAACAAAACAAAAACATCTCAAAAAACTAAACAGGACTCCTTCTAGAGATATATAGGCTAAAAAAATACAGTAAGAATATAATAGAAGCAAAGACATGGATAATAGCAAAGAAGCAGTGAAGGATACAACTTTTTGGAAGAGGATCAAACAATCCCTCTGTTACACTATTAAACATCAAATCACAGAAGTTTTCTTGAAGGTAGTATTTAAATGTAATGTATAATATAAATCAAGTAGAATTTATATAGGTTAACATTTTAATAGTTTTTGAGCATTAAAAGCAGTTTCATTCCAAAATAAGGCAATTTTAGGAAATATTAACCTTTATGGGGGTATGGTGGTAGCTGGGTGTAGTAGTATACTCCTATAAGCCCTGCACTTTTTGAGGCTGAGGCAGGAGGACTGCAAGTGTGAGCCTAGCCTAGGTAACTTAGTGACTCAGCAAGACCCTCTCCCAAATTTAAAAAAATAAAAAGGGTTGGGGATGTAGCTCAGGGTGAAGACCCTGTGTTCAATCCCCAAAACTGCAAAACAAACAAACAATTGTGTAGATAGTTTTTGCCTTCTTATGTGTTTCATCAGCATACATTAATTTTTGCAGTTGAAAAGAAAAGCCTCAAATTTAAACTTACTCTGTAGCCATAAATAACGCTTGAATAACACTGTTCATATAACATGTGTTTCCTAGGTTAATAAGACCAGTTTTCCCAGTTTCAGATTTTCCAGACAGTCTAGACAAGCAAGATGCCAAAGTATTGGATTGAGAAGTCCAGGCACTTTGATTGAGAATCAACTTAATCTTCTCTTCACTGGGCTTAGGAAAATCCTACAAATCACAGAGAAAAACAGTTTAAAAATAAAGTAAAAACTATCTTTGTTACTAAATTAATTGACTCTATAAAGATTTACCCTCCCCCTAATTTTTTTCTTTGCTCCTATTTAGTTTTGAAATCACTGACAGTACTTGGGGATAGTCATTAAAAAATCAAGTTATGTTGCATGACAGTTTACAAGTTGAAGAATCCTTAAGAACCAGGAATTCAAGTCACATTTGAACTATTTATATTCCATATTTGCCAGCAAAATGCATGTAAAATAAAACTTTGAAATCAGTGAGTATGCTGTAGTATGATTCAGAGGTAGCAGAATTTAAAGATTTAAAGTAGTACACAATTGATTAATCTACACAAAACAAATTACTTTCAAATTTTGTGATGAAAACAAGAAATTTTTCCTTTTCAGGAAACCATTAATATTTACTCAGCATTAATTCTTAGAAATAAAAGTCTAAAGTAATTAGGGATAAAAAGTAAGAGGGGTAATTTAGCACAACGACCTCTGACTTCAGAAAATAAAAATCTCATATTTTACCATCTAGATAATTATTATAATGTACAGATTCTCCTTATTAGTGAAGTATGAAGTCATAAGATAAAATGCTCAGTATAAATGATTTCAAACATGAGTAGATCACTGGAGAATGAAGGAAAGTTGGTGAAATCATTTATACTTACATGATTTGCTTTTCTAGGCTGCTATTACAGTTTTGTACACACACCTTAAGGTATTTTAATTTTATTTTAAAAATTTGTTTTTGGTTCCTCTTGTTGATAGCAAGTAGAAAATGCCTTCCTCAGGTTAAGAATAAGTAAACCTTTTTTTGCTTCAGAACCCATATAAGTTATCAGAATTTTCAACATAAAAAGCAGTACAGAAATGAAGAATGGCCATAAGTAGACACAGCCACAATGCTGAAAGACAGTAACATTACTATCAAATTTATGACAAAATGCTCCTGTATGAAATTTACTTCTGAAATGTCAGTGTCACACCAACACCGCACATTAGTTACTTAAAAATCTTGGGACTCAACCAAATTAGTTTGATTTAGCTAATTAAAAAATGAGCATATTTTCAGTTCCTTGCAGATACAGAAGAGAAGCAATGAGAACTTTAATTGTATTTTAAATCTCTAAAAGGGGCATTATTAATAGAATTGCTATCTAATAACATCTGATTATGTCTGGCCAAGTTAAGTTCTCCCATTCTCTTGGTATACTCTGATCACACAACAAATTTACTGAGAACAAAATATCCTTGCTGTGACCCAGAGTTCAGTACAAACAGAATCAATAGTTTCTGGATACACTATCTATACAAAGGTAGAAAACAGGGTAACCCACAAATAATTCAAGTAAAGATCGTGACACTCCTGAAGAGTCTACAGCAGACAGAAATGTAAAAAAGGGAAAATGATGACCAGAAAAGAGAAGTGAGACTACTATTAGGTAAGAAAAGGGAATAAGGGGAGGGGCTGTGAGTGTGGGTACTAGGGACAGATATCAAAATACATTACACACATTGAACCACCTCCCAAAATTGGAAGCCAGGGAAAGAAGACTTAGTAAGGGGAGTGATGCTGGAAGTGATTAAAATGGTCAACATATGTTATGTACATGTATGAACCTGCTGAAATGAAACCCACTAATCTATATAACCAATATGCACTAATTTAAAAAAAGTGAAAAAAGGGAATCAAAGTTATATATTTACTAAATCATGTTTCCTTGATTCTTAGATGTACCTTACATATTTTAACATTGGATAATGGGGTGCAAATCTTATATATTTGTTTGCTATAACCTATCTTTCCAAATAAATTTCCCAAGAGGTATTATAAATTTAATATGTCTTACAATTGATGGCATTACAGACCAAAGAAATAATGGCTATTAATTTAGAAGTGAGAGCAAATGATACATTACTCTTCTAAACATTAGTGAAACCTATTTTTAAATGCATGTTTCAAACAAAAAAACAGGAAGAGTTTCATAAAATTATAAATTGAATAGCTGGTTACAGGAATGTTTTACTATGTTCATCTATTACATCATGGTCTGTAGCTCTACAAATGGTGATATAACTATCATACCTTTATTGCCTCCAGAATAGGTTCATAGAGATCTGGGAATCCAGAGTAATGATACATCATACAGTGTATTAATTCTGTTAACTGCACTAAGAAGGCTGTACTGGAAGGCTGGCCATTACTTTTGAAAGAGTGAACCAAATTAAGGACATGAGGAACAATCTGAAGAGAGAAAAGGACAAGTATTTCTTAATTTATAAATTTGTAACATTCTCCCGCCTATAAGTAGAATATTACATAATAAGCAAATACTTTTCTGAAACTTCAGTCATAGCCTTTTCTTAAAAAAATTACAAAGCTAAAAACCTTGGGAATATTAAGGAAAATCTAGCTTTCAAAGTCACATATGATTGTACTTCCCTTTACTATTCCCCTCCTTGTTCCTATACTCCACGTAAAACACGATCTCAGGTACAACATACAAATCTTAGTCACTGCTGCCATTCTTTTTAAAAAAGCCTGCAGCAGAAAAATGTTAGGGCCATTATACTGGCCAGATTACTCAATAGAAGCAAATTGCAAACAACAACAACAAAAAACAAAACAAAACAAAACAAAAACAAAGAAAACCCCTAGAATTAGGTAAAGAGCTCCATCTAGTGTAAATTTAAAATTTTTCACTTAAAAGAAAATACACTGCATGGTATAAAGTCTACCTAAAAAAATCTTTGAAGTAACATATGGGTAACTAAAACTGTAGGTCAGATAACATCACTTTCCTTTTTGATAAGCATCAGAACAATGTCTCACGTTAGATGGAATATCTTTAATAAAAAACACTATTCCCTACCCCTAAAAAGAGATGGTTCTAAAAATAAAGGAAATCAGAAGTTTCTTTTATTTTAAGAAAATGACACTAAAAAAGAGAAAAATTTAAATGCTCAATGCTTATAAGCATGTAGAAAGTTATTAATATTGATGATCACTACAACAATGTCCTTTCGTTGTAAACTTAGGCTAAGAAGTCAAAAAATATACAATCACGTCTTTAAGAGATTACCAAAATGAAACAAATTCTATTTTATAGAAATGGCCCATTTCATTAGCATGGTATTAGTTTTTTCATCTGATTATTGATTATAATCTATAACCTGATACACCTATTTCTACTTCTTATTGTAAAGGGCATTTTAAATTTTCTTTGTAGAACTTTTTAAGTTGTTGCTAACTCAATAAAAGAGAAGTTGGAGCTTTACTAAGGTCATATTATCAAACAGGAATAATAGCAGTTATAATAATGCCCCAATAAGCTCCCTCCTGCTCCTTAAAAATAATTATATTCCTAAATTAACAGTACTATTTCTGTTCTGCTCTGTTTGGCTTTACTGTTGTACCTGAGGTCTTAAGTTACATTTTATTTACACTAGCTGATATAATCTTATCTCCACCAAAGAAGGTACTGATGTGACTATGACACTAGCAGTTCCTAATGCTATCACCATCAATTCTACATTTCTAAAAAAATCTGAATAATTTTGCTCCCTAAAGCTACATCTATGGGATATTCAGTTGCTAAAATGCCAGAAATATAACATTATTTTGTTTCCTCAGAGGTGAAGAGAAAGAGATAAAAAAAATTTTGAACTAATTATTAAATTCAATTTTGAAACTTCCAAAAACTTCCGTAGAACAGATTTTATTCGGTTGCAAACTGCTGTATCCTACATGATGAAAATCATTCCTGACAAGGAAATAAGACTGACTTCTTTAGTTATGCAGATACACTTTCAAATAGGCATTTACCTTCTAAATATTGTAATGTTCACTGAACATAAGTTACTACGTAACTAATGTATAAAGCCTATTAAATTTGTAACTCGCACATTTTTCTTTCTCCTTTACAACAACTATGTGCCACAGTATCTTTTTAAAATAAAGTTTTCCCAATTACAAAAAAGTGAAATGAAAGTTGGCTGATAGCACACACTGAAACATGAATCGTGGTTTGCCCTTAAATATTCCAAACATACAATGGATGATACTGGTGATTCCAAGGTTTTGCTCATACTTAGCCACACTGTAAACACTGAGTCCTTCACTGAGTTATGTGCAGTTACAGGTGATTTAACTACCACATGACTCACTACTAGACGTCTAAGTTATTTTGAGTACAGGGTCAAGCTGTACATAGCACTAGGCACTAATTTGGTCTTTGCTTTTAGGTTTAGTAAGCCAGATTAGTTTCAGAGTTGTTTTTCAAGTAAGTGATTTAATACTTGTTTAATTCAATAGCCACATATTTCAAAGTTAAACAATGTTATTTCAATGTTTTCCCAGAAAAAAGATGGGAAAAGCAATGTAAAAGGTAAGGAGATATCTTTAATCTTTTAAAAAAAATTGTGAGCAATAAAATAGATTTAGAATGTATCCTAAATGACTTAACCACAGAGATTAAGGAATACCCTCAGTGTGATGAGTAATAAATGGTAATGGTAATTAAGTGGTAATTTAATGGATCATTAAATTATTTTAGACTCTTCTTCCTAGAAATTTTGAAAACTATTTTTTTCTCTTCAGTTGTGCCTGAAGACAAGAACAAAGTGATTCCTTCTTGATTGGAAAACTTTGCGAGTATACGCTGTTACATTTTCTGAAGTCATAAGTTTGTTTATATAACAGGTAAAATGTTACCACTTCATACTAAATTCACAAAAATTAGGGCAAACAACTGCATAAATCATTCATCCTAAATGATAATGTGCAATGTAATTACTTCTTAGTAAGGTTTACTTACTACAAAGCTTGTGGATTTTCCCCCAGTGGAAATTAGGTGATGAGCAACCTATGTGATTATATGGCTGGTTCTGTGACTAGTTATGTTTCTAGCTAAAAATTAACAACTGGGATTTTGTACTTCTTTATTAGTCTCCTCTGAATTTTGATACAGTGGATCAGCATCCGCAGGATTTTTACATTGTGGGTACAATGACATGTGAGATACCAGTCCAATAAAGTTAAGGAGCAAACCTTGCAGGAAGCGGGTAACCACATGAAGACACTGTTTTCGTGTGAGGCCCCAGGAAGGTCAGTGGACAGCTTCCCAAAGTGACATTGTACCATTCGTCACCTGTAGTAACTGACAGTCACATCAAATCAAAACCAGCAAGAGAGCTGGTTTAAAAGGGTAGGATCTGGATATATTTAAAGGTGGCATGAACAGCATTTGTGGGACATGAGGTAACAGAGAATATGAAAGTGTAGCTCTGGGGCTATAAAGCCAAGACTGATGTTTTCATGGTTCTGCAATTTGAAAGCAGTCAGTAGTTTTCAGCCATTTTAATCCTTCTACATTGCTCCCATGGGTCACAGACATCCATCAGAGACATCCCCCATGGAGGGCACTAACTTTCAATTGCTGGCAGTGGTTGTAAGTGGGTCACTTTGGGCAAGACACAAAACACTCTGAAAACAGACTCCTAGGAAAGAAATCTCACAATCTCAATTTTTAAAGAAATCATAAAGTTATATCAAAATAGTTAAGATTTTAAGATGCATCTATGATCTTTTCACTTTATACAAATGTGACTCAATAGTAAACTTAAGTTTTGAAAATAAGACTTCTTCAGCGTAGAAAGCTTGTGTCATAACTTACCAGATGGAACGCCTCTGGAGAATGCTGAAAACTAAGCAGCATGTGAGAAAGAACTGCAAGAGCACCAGGTCTCACAAGTGGAAACCAAAGTCGATTAAAAACCTTCAAAATAAGACCACATCTTAAAAGTTTGTAGGAAAATTAATAGCTCAATCAGTACTTATTTCCGTAGGGCTAAAAACTGTTTATGTGAATATTCCCCCTCTCGAAATCATAACATATATAGTTCAACTTTAGGGGAAGGAGGAAGTTAGGAAATAAAATGACTAAGATAAAGGACAACTGAATGGCCTAAACAATTCTCAAAACTCCCGATTAAATGAGAATCTGTCAAACTATGTTCCTACAGTGAAAGGTCTAAACAATTCTCAAAACTCCCGATTAAATGAGAATCTGTCAAACTATGTTCCTACAGTGAAAGGTTCCTGGTCTACATGAAAGGTCCCTGGTCTACTACTCATTCAGTTCACTCAATAAACTTTCATTTAGCACCTACTATTGCTCAGTACTATTTCAGGCACTGGAAAAACAATAATGGCTCTGATAATCTCTATCTTCTAGGGCTTACAAACTAGAGTATATATAGAGACATAAAATAACATACAATGTTAAGTGCTATATAAAATGTAAAGCAGGATATGAAGAATAGAGGGGGATGGGAGGGCTATCTGGCTGTACCATCTACCACCCCATTGATTGCCAGGGTTAATTCAGCTGATCTGGCTGGCTAAGCTGGTGTTGCCTTCCTCTTTCACCACTCCATGTGCATTCCTCCCAAAGCTGTGTGCTCGGTTGAAGAGCACGACCACTCCTGATACAGGAGGACTTTTTCCTTGGTTAAGAATATTGAAGTAGCTGCTAGAACCACCAAGAAAGCTCTCAAGAACAGAGGGGTTTAATATTGGCAGAGGGGTCTGCTATTTTACATAGGGTATTCAAAAAATGTCTCATGAAAAAGGTGACATCTGAGTATAAAACTGAAGGTAGTGAGATAATCCTGGAAGACACGTAGGAGAACACCGGAAGCACAGCAAACAACACTGCAAAGGCCTGGAGTACTCCCCACTGGTGTGACATAGACATACTGAGGGGACAGTGTAAGGGAAGCAAGAGGCTAAGACAAGAACAGTGGGAAACGGGATCAGAGAAGCAGCACTGGGCCACACCATGTACAATCTTGTGTGATACCTACTTGGCGCTAAGGCAGGAGCAAGGAAACTGCTGCAATCAATGCAACAAGAGATGATAATTAAACATGGACCAGAGCAGTAGTGACATAACAGGTTAAAAGTGCTAAGATCCTGAACCTATTTTAAGGGTGGAGTTAGTGCATTTGCAGGATATGGCTTGAAAAAGAAGGATAGCTCAAAGTTTCTGGCTTGAGTGAAGAAGGTTGAAGAAGCCATTTATGAAGGTGGGCAAAACAGAGTTAGGGAGGTAAAGGAGTTAAGACTGTGGATACGGTGAATTTGAGATCCAAGTATAGCAGCTGAACAGATAAGAGTACAAAGGACAATAATGAATGAGACATATGAATCTGTGAGTAATTCAGGTAGAGACCTTATTTTACATGGGACATCTATGCTATCAGTACGGATTAAGAAGAAAGTGAACCGAAGACTTAACTTTAAGGTAGTGTAAAAGTTAGAAAGAATACAGAGAGGTGGACACTAGTATACCAGTGAAGCAGGACAAAAACCAAGAGAAAGCTGGGGATATAGCTCAGCAGCACAAGCATCTGCTTGGCAAGTGTGAGGTCCTGAGTTTGATTACCGGTACCAAAAAAAAAGAAAACAAAAAACCCAAAAAACCAAGAGACAATATGTAATGCCCTAAATATTAAGGACATTAACAGTTGTTTTAAGAGAGGTGAACCAGTTATGTCAAATGCTGCTCACAGGTCAAATGAGAAGAGCCCTGAAAAATGATTAGAGATAAATCTGATAGAATACTAAGGGTAAAAGCTTGGTTAACTGGATTCAAGAAATAATGGGAGGCAGGTATGATGTTATATGCCTGTAATCCTAGCTATTGAGAAGGCTGAGGCAGGACAACTGAAAGTTTGAGCCTGGGCAACTTGGTGAGACTCTGCCTCAAAACAAAAAAAGCTGGAGGTATCTTACTGCTTCCTGAGTTCAATCCCTAGTACTAAAAAACAATAACAATAAAACTGATAATGGGAAGAATGTACTTTCAAATTAAATAGAAATAATTCACAGAAAAATTATTTTAATTGCCTATATTTGAGTGGCATCTAAAAAATTTCTAAAGCCTATTCAAAACAAAATTTAGAAAAGGAATATACTCAAAATTAGATGTCTTAAAGCAGACAATCCAAAGATTAAAATATTGATTGTACGAGCCCGTACACGCTAACAGATTTACAAACTCCCACTTACCAGTTCTATTTTCAGCAATGTAACATCTATCAAAATAGTAAACTTCTGAACAGCTGCTAGTCCTTTCAGGAGTGCAATAACCCATGTATCCACATGCTGAGCCAGGGGCCAGGACAGCCAGTCAATCATTCTGAAAGTTAGAAGAAAACAAAGTCTCATACTAAAATATTTTCAACATTATTTTGTTAGGAAAATAAAAGTTACAGTAGATAACCATACTAAGGAAGCTAGTAAGAACCACTAAGCTTGCTAGTAACAACCACTGAACAAGATGTGGAAAAGCTGTAATGGGTGCCTATCCTCAAGGAATTTCTAATTTTCTGAGTGTACAGTTCCTTATATTCAACATATTAAAAATGTGCTGATGTCTCATAAATGCAAAATTTAAAATTTACGCTATGTAGCCATCAGTTATTTATTATGCGAACTTACTCTAAGAAGAACAGGTGAAATAAGATATCAGAACTAAGACAAGGGTGTCAGCCAAGATTTCTCCTTCCTGGTGAGTACAGTCTAATATGTAATACACTATTAAAAGAGGCTATATTTTGAATTGTGAAACAGGTGTCTTCATCTCTTTCAAAATCCTACAATACAAAGACAATATAAGAAAACCTCAAATACTTAAAAAGGCACTGAATGTACAAATATGCTAATGGTCACATTTTCTATTAATGAGTATTTTTCTTCTTGAATATCAACCCAGTTCAACAGAAAAAAGACAAAGCAGGATACTAAAGCTAGACCTTTGCTGAAATGATTGGTATAACTCTTTTGGAAAGCAACTGGGACAAGTATTCATGTTAGTTGACCTGGGAATCTAATTTTGGGAATTATACATGAAGAAAATAGTAGGGAAGTTGGAGTGACTGGTTTAAAAATCTCAAGTCACAATTTATTAGCTGGGAACTCTAAATTCCTTATTCTCTGTCCATGTATCAATGTCCTCATTTCTAGATTTCAGGTAAGCGTGCTTATTTTACAATACTGTTGTGAAGATTAAATGAAATGTAACACTGGAAACATTGTGAATGTCTCTCTCCTACCAAATATTAACACATGATGATTGTATATAATGTCAAATACAAATACTTTGATGGTATACAATGTCAAATGTAAATATCGGAAATATAAATCTGTGATCAAAATAGCAATGACCATGTTAAAAGGACTAACATACAAACTGATTTTATTTTTGAAAACACTGTTTTATATCTATGCTTGTACTGGGGGGTTATCTTTATCAAGAGTTTTGCTTTTAAGATTAAAACATCTCAGTAGACATCAAGAGTGGTCCCAAAGTGCAAATGCATTATTAACTATAAGTTATCTGTTTGTCCTTCCATTACCTATACAAATTTTATTTCTTTTCTTGTTTTACTGGCTTCTTCCAACAACGATGGCTAAAAATCCTTAAGGCAGTCCCTGATAGCCTGCTCCACATTTTTCAACTATTACAAGGTTGCCGTTCCACATATATAGAGAAGAAAAAAGAAACAGCTTGTACGCATGTGTAAAGAGCATTCACAGCGGCACTGTTTATGATATGGAAAAACTACAATAAACCTAAATGACCATCAATAAGGAAAGGCAAAGTATAGTACTGATATTGCAGAACACTACTAAAAGTTTTAAAGAGTGAGGCGGATTTATATGAAACTATCTATGGCAATCTAAAATGGAAAGATTGTGAAATATTGTTAAATTTAAAATACTAATATATTTTTAAAAATCTATTTTTGCTTAAGAGAAAATCGTATTAGTACATATGTAGAAATATGCACACAAAAAATAATGTGGTAGAGGGGAGGGGTATGTGTGAGCACCTCTCTTTGGCTCTGTGGAGTCTTCACCCTGAGGGGAACGGCACTAACACAGCACAATCAGACCAGACTCAAGGCCATCCCCCCTATAATTTAGCTACTGAGTACTGGTAAAGGGTGGGAGTGGACACGAAACAGAAACTCCACTTGGCAATGGCTCTTTATTTGTAATTAGTAAGCCTTTTCTTCTACTTTTGCTTTTGGCTTCCCATTTCATAAGCCTCCACTCTCTATTATCCCAGACATACCAATTTCATGACCAATCTTAAATAAACATTACAGGAGTATTACACAAATTAGAAGTTGCTATGGTTTGAACGTTTGTGGCCGTCTAAAATTCATGTGCTCAAACTGAATTCTCTATGTGTGATATTAGGAAGTGAGGCCTTTGAGAGGTACCTAGGTCCCGAGAGCAGAATTCTCATAAATGGGATCAGTGCCCTTATAAAAGAAGCTGAAGGAAGTTCCCTGGCCACTTCTCCCACATGAGTACAAGAGACGGCACCATCAAGGAGTAACTGCACCTTATCTGCTATGTTGTGATTTTGGACTTTTCACCCTTCAAAACCATGAGAAAAAGAATTTCTGTTAATTGACTACCCAGTTGCAGGTATTTTGTTATAGCTGCCCAGAAAGACATAAATTGTTCATAAAACAAATACTTACATGTCTATTACACAGCAAGTACTGTTTTAGGTGCTGGACTGTAATAGTTTCTGCCCTCAATTTTAAAAAAAAACATCAGGAAATTTGTTAATGGTCACACAATTATCAAATAGTGGTACTGGTATCTGAACTAACATCTGCCAAGCACTTAATGCTATGCTTTTTTGTCACACTGTAATTACCTATCAGTTCTGCTTCAATTTGATTAGACTTGTATAAACCCTACTCCTCTCAGGCACAGACATTACAGGATTATTTTTTATGGTTAAGGGGAGTAATCATATTTATCATGTATTGGTTATTACCAGTTTGAATTCTAGAAACATTTTACTTTTTATTGAATTCCTTACAATTTTAAAGAATATTTTAACTACAGTCATTAGCTATATATTTCAAGTCTTATCTCCTGCATTAGACTATAAACTCAGTAGCAATGACCTTGTTTGAACTGTACACAGTTTTGAACCTCCAGTATTTAGTAGAGTGCCTGGCATTGAGTAGGAGCTGATTTGCAGTATAAATGAAAGTATTTTTCAATAGCTAAAAAGAAAAAGCATGCAACTTTAAGAACTTAACATTAAAAAAGGCAACATTATGAAAGGCAATAAACAAATCTAATCATAATGTCTGAGGAATAAAATCAACTTCCACCTTCACATGGCAGCCTGATGGCTATATCTAGCCTTCAGCACTTCTTGTCCCAGTGTTTGAAAACTTAAAACCTTTTTACATAGAAAGCTGGATTTCAGGCTTCTTTTGAAAATTTAGATCAAACCAGACTGCACTCAAATTTTCTTATGGTAAAAGGAAACCAAACTTGAGGATTGGTTTTAGAAGGTGCTTGGGTACCCCACTGGCTATCATTACAAGTGCAGTTGGCTTGTTTCATACTTTATGTTATCTGTCTGGTCCCAGAATGGTGTTTATATTTTCATATCTTTGGATTACAAAAAATGACCTTGAAGCATGGAAAGTGCTACATTTTGAGATACACAGGACTTAAAGCTTTCCATCATTCAGGCTGCAACTAGAATGAGGTCTACAATAAGAATTGTGGAAAGAACTAAATTCATGAACCAATGTACCACAATATAGGAAGAAAATCTTAACAGCACAATGCCACAGGACCAGAATTTCAAGAATATATACAAAAATATTAAGATGAAAATACAATCATATAAGGCAAGAACATCACTATAAATTAGTAGTGATAGATGCCACTCAACAGGACAAGATTACCTATAATATCTATTTCACAAATCTTGGAAATTAAAGATTGCCTGAGCAATACATAATAGTGACAGTTAAATTGATTCCATTAAGTTTAAGAGCAAAAAGAAGAATGAAGAAAAATTAGGTGGAAATTCCTTTTCAAACACTGAAATGAAGAGGAAGAAAAGGTGGAAAAAAATTAAAGTTTCTAGAGTTTGTGTTACAGAGCATGGCATTAGTAAACATGTAGCTTGCTGGGAGCCCAACATAAACACTTCAGTCCACGTTACTGGTGATTACTCGTGTGTGGGTGCACACACACACACACACACACACACACACACACAATAATTATACAACAAACACAGGCAGACATAAAATAGGAACAGATAGATAAGAAAGGCTCAGAAAAAAGTCACTGAAATAATAAACTCAATGGTTGCAATAGTAATAATCTGGGTAAGATATAAAGGATAGAAACAGCTGTGGTCATCCTTTGCCTGCTTTGCTACTTTCTGCCCACCACATACTCCTTTCTCCTCTGTGATGCCTGTTTGCCGGCCAATAATGCCCTGAAACCTCTATAAACTGTGAGCCAAAATAAACCTTTCTTCCCTTTACTTTCGGTGTTTGGGATTTTGTCTTAGCAACAAGAAAAAAATAACTAGGACAGAATTTGGTACTGGGAGTGGGCTGTTGCTGTGACTTTATTTGACCATGTGTTTCAGGAGCCTTTGGAAATGTCTTGTGGGAAGAGTTTGGAAAGGTTTGGAGATGCTTGCTGAAAAAGCAACCTTTAAATCCCTGAGCTGTTTGTCTCTAGAATTCAAACATTTCAGCAAATGCTTGCTGAAAAAGCAACCTTCAAATCCCTGAACCTCCAAAATGGGGAGATTTTGGTTAGAGCTCAGAAGACCAGACAGCTGATAGAAATGCTGACAATAAAGACCAAGGTTGGGAGGTTTCTACTGGGAAGAAAGACTGCATTTGTTGAAGGACTCCAGAACATGTGTGTTTTGCCTTAGTAGCAAGTTTGTCTACATTTTGCTCACGTCCAGAGATATTGCCTGAGACTGAGACTAAGGGTGGAAGACTAATTCACCTTGCAGAAGAAATTTCAAGGCAATCTAAGGTTGAGGTGGTGACATGGCTACTGCTGATGGCTTTTTGACAGATTTATGTTGAGAATCAGGAGCAAAAAGCCCAGTGGAATGATTGAAAACACTACTGCTTTTGTACTAGTGCTTTTGCACTACTGGGCAGTTAAAAAATTTTTAAGTTTAATTATCTTAAGTGGCTTTTGCATCACTGTACAATTTTAAAAGTTTTAAGTTTAATTTTCTTAAGTTTAATTATTATCTGCCTTGATATTCTTCCACATAGGTACTATATTCACAGGTGCTCCCTCATTTCCTTCATGTATTTGTTGCCATGGTCACTTCAGTGAAACCCTCCTCATCCATCTTACTCAAAATTGCAAACTGTTTCCTTATGCCTTTTGCCCTTTCTTGTCCACATCTTCCTACCAAAACACTCATTATCCAACACAGTAAATTATTTTTCTTATCATATTTGTGATATAGCCTAAAACAAGATCAATTTTAAGATATATAATTAGTTAAGTACCACTAAGGCAAGAAAAGTTGTGTCAGAATAATTAGGATACCCATGATTGGTCACTTCCGCATTTTAACATCTTTGAAATTAGGATACACTTGGGAATGTTATCAGATTACTCTCTGCATCTCCAACTAGAAAATAAGCCCTTGAGGACAGATTTTTTATCATTCTGTTCAGGATAGTTTGAATACTCACCAGCCCTTATGGTGTATGTTCAATGTATGTGATTTGAGTAAGTCAATGAATGATTGACTAAAAGTCTAAAAATCCTGAGAGGGACAACTAACATTGAATTTATACCTAGAAATATACACTAAAACTGCAAAAACATTAAAGAAAAAGAAAAACATAAAAATTACCAGAGAAGGGTAACTAATTACAGAAGAATGACAATCAGATTGACTTCCCTTTAGCAGCAACGAACACTCAAAGAATTATTTGCAGCATTACTTACAAAATGTTAAAGAAAGTTATCAAATTAGAATTAATATCCTGTCAAGTCATCTACATAAGACTAATGGTCTAAAAACAAATTTCAAACAGACAAGGACAAGAGTGTATTACCCAGTAAGCCCAGCTGAAAGAGAAAGTAAAAGTATTTTGCTGGGGGAAAAACTCAAATTACAGGAAACAACAAAGAAAAAAGAAGTTAAAAATATATGTTGATAATTCCAACTTATGTCTGTACAGTAAGTACATATACACGTATGCTTTGGGTTTTAATAAATGTTAAATTGAAAATGGATCTGTGAATTACTGAGATGCCTGTCAATGCTATAAAAAAGTAAAAAGGTCATTCCAATTAATATGTAGAATCTTTATATATTCGGTTCCATGATTTTACTTTCCAGTATTTAAATTTTTATTACTTAGAAAGTATAACAAAATATCTGCTCCTTTCAAATTTACCATTACTGTTGATAGTGTCAAGAAGAAGTACCTGCAAAGAGCTTGGGTCATACTTGCATCTTTTACATTTGGATCCGTGGTAAGACTCCTGATGAGAACTGTAATCATCTGAAGAGGAATATGCTGAACAAGGCTTGCCAATGCTACAGAAGGTTCAAACGATGCATCTAGTTTTTCAATTAAAAAGAAAAGAAATATGGCAAGAAAGTTCAAGTAAAGTATTTAAAAAACACTGCCAAAAATATACATATTTGCAGCAAAGGTCAGGAAGCAGTTATGCTACACATGGTGGACAGTCATTAATAAATAAAGAACACTGATTTATGAAAAAAAGATTACAAGTGAACAGCAATGATTACTCATTTCTATAGATTAAAATACTGAATTATAAAAACTGCTATCCACTAACTGCCATTCTGGTCTATAAATTTTTTTTGCACTCTTTAATATTTACTATTAAGCTAAAACATTCATTTGCCAACCAGTAGTCAGAAAAAAAATGCAACGTATCAATTCCTATATTAAAAGCTTCAAAGTCATTTAAACCTGTTATAGTAGTCATTATGTTGTTCTAAAGAAAATATTAAAACTAAGTAAAAATTATGGTGAATTTGGGTAGTTTGCTTAAATTATATAAAAACTAAGCAAATTCAACATGAGCACCTTTACTGCTATAATTGAAAAACTTAAGAGGAAAATCTAACACTGTAAGATGACCAATACAAATACTATAAATATATATGTGATGTATTAAATTCATCAGAATGCATGGAGCTTGTTAAAACTCCATCTTTATGTCTAGCTTTTAAGATAAAACGAGGACACCTGCTTCACAAGTTCAAATTTGCAGCCCTGAATAGAGGGAATGGTTGTACCAAGTAAAGAGGAAATGAACCTGGTTTTTGACCCACAACTTCACAACCTACAGATCTGAAAGCTCCAAAGCTTTTAAGAACACAGATGCACAGGTGAAATTCCTGAGTGAGAAAACATTCTCTAGCCAAGAACCAGTTGACTCGTCCCAGTTCCTGAGGATGGAGTTCAGGGTACACCTATTTATGTCTTCATCGTCCCCCTTTCCTCATTCTACCTGTATCCCCTCTCTAGCACACTACTGTAGACAGAAAATACCAATATTTAAAAATTGCACATTTAAATGGGATAATCTAGTAACAGAACTGCACGATCCACGAATTAAAAAAGTGGAGGAATTAAAAAACGTAAAACAGTCATTACAACAAAACGATAGAGTCGCATACAATAATAATGTGGTGCTGTAAACATTATACTACCATTAGTCACTAATGAATGGAGCTTTACAGAGTAGTTGTCATCTTCAAGGCATTCCATAATTTGAGCAGAGGCTGGGTAATTAACTTGTTTATTAACAAAGGTGACCTAGATGTTTTTAACTTTTAAAATAGGCACACTGGCTGCTTTTTAGGTAGGTAGTGATATTCTGAATAAAGCTTCGTATTGAAATAAAATTTTGAATGAGGATATTAAGAATCTTTACATGGTGGGACAGACTAACACTGAATGTCAGGAGATAGTCGCCTAAATACAACGACCCTCACCTGTGGAAGAGATGCTCGCAAAAACTTCTTGCAGGGAAGGCAGCAGTGTGGCAGGCTCGGCCTTCCAGATGTTCTGTAGCAAGTTACTCACTTTCGTTACCTGGGAAACGTATTCCCGCAGCTCTTTCTCCTGGGTGGACACGCACTGAAAATGGCCTATCGTCCGAACCAGCTGTTGACAGAAGGTGATGGACAATTTCCCTTTGGGGATGCACTGCACGAAGTCGGTCAGCAGGTCGCTCAGTCGGGCACACAGCTGCGGCTCTGGCCTTTCGCATACCATCCTTAACACCTCCACCTGCAGCAAGCTGAACAGGTCCAGCACCGACGGGCAGCTCATGATCAGCTTGAGGCCATTGTGAATGTAGTCCAGGATGACCACGTCCTTCCTGTCCAGCGAGTGATAGCCTTGCTGAAGGAGGCCCAGCACGAAGGTCTTGTTGAAGAAGGACTCAAACTCTGGCCGGTGGTACCGCGCGTAGGCCTCTAGCACCTGGTGCCCCACTTGCCGCTGGAAAGGGTCCTGGCCCTCCAGGATGAGCCGGGTCGTCAAGTCAAACATGGCCTCGCACTGCGCCTCGTCCAGCCAGTGCTCGGCCGATTCCACCACCTTCCGCACGATCACCCGCTTGAGGGGCAGCGGGTGCGAAGAGCTCACCAGCCCCTCCAGGATCTTGTCCATTGTCGCCACGCTGCAAGGCCAGCGTCAGGGTATCGGGAGCCGGCGGCCGCAGCCCCGAGGTGGGGCGGGAGAGCCCCGGAGCGGAGGTGAAGTAGGAGCTTCGCAGCAGCGGGACCGGCCACCGCCACCGCCGCCTCAGCAGCCACATTTATCGGGCAGGGCGGGCCATCCAAGCCGGGGCGCGTTAGGAACATACACCACCCGCGGCGGGCCTAAGTGTAGCGCCTGAGGCCCGAACGCGGCGGCCACCCCGGGCCCGAGGTCCCTCAGCATCAGCGCGGAGGAGGCAGCAAGGCTCCCCGCTTTCGCCGAGCGCTCAGGACCCGGGGCTGCGAGCCGGCGGGTGGAGGGGGCCGCCTCGGGGTCCCGGCGGATCGAAACAAGAAGCCGGCCAGGGGCTGAGTCAGGAGGCGCTGTCACAAACGGTGCCGGAATCAGCCGGGGAGAGGAGGCGGAGATCACCTTTGACCCGGATATGGAAGTGTAGCAGACCGGAAGTGAGGTCCCAAGAGCCTCTCGAAAGGCCCGCTTTTTGTCCTCTTCGCAGCCCCTCCCCTCCTCTGCTCAACGCCCTCCCCTCCGCCGTCTGGCCGTGTCCTCTCCCGGCGCACACGAGGGGCCGCCCCCGGTTGAGTATGGCCGGTTGGCTAGCGTCACTGGAAAGCGTGTGTGGAGTCACAGGAGCGCTTCCGGGAGAAGCCTCCCCAGGCGGAAGTTGTACAGGTGACGGGGCCTTGAGGTTCCCACCGCTGGTTCTCTTCGGGGTCTTCTGGGTCAGGTTACTTGTGAGAACCGGAAAAGGCGCTATTTCTGCAATGTCTTGTAAATGAGAAAGTTTTGGAAACGTGAAAAGGGCAGCCTGGACTGCATAGCTATACCCTGTCGCGAATAAAAAGAATTTTTAAAATGCGCTAGAGAGGCCGAAAGCGACTGGCTTTCTCGCGCAGCGTGTTTGCCACAGTAGGGACGATATTGGCAGTGACGTACAGTACATTTAACGAGGATTAGTATCCGTGGAGGTTTGTAGTGTTAGTGACAGGCGAACATCCAGTTAGCTTTTCATATTTAAATTTGTAAGCTGCCCCTCAAATGGTAAGGAAAATTAAAAAAAAAGTACATACACAAATATATATAGTGATATAAATAGGCGGTGAATGTTTAAATTTTTAAACATTACAGTAAGACACATTGTCATTAATTCCCCTTAAAATGCGCTTCTGCCTTAGAATACACATTGTTCTTGCGACATTTTGAAGCTGTTCTGGAAGTCCCCTTTCATGAGTTTCTACTGTGTCTGCATCAAAAAATCCCATTGTCCAATATGAGTCATGTATGTATTCTTTAAATTCCAAAGGTTCACAATAAGAATTCAGATTTTAATTAGCCTTAACATTGAAAAATGTTACTTAATTAGAATTCCTTTCAGAATTGCTTCATGTAAATAGCTAAATTAGATATTAAAATGCAGGCAGACAGGGACTAGGAATTTGAGAAAGTCAGCACAGAAGATGAGACACGCAAAGATTATGGCAAATCTGAAGAGACCCAGGCCTGCAAGCCTTCCTAGGGATAAATACCAATTTCAGGTTATACTTAAGTACTGCCACCGTTTTAGTTAAATCCAGCTAGGTCTCAGATGCATAGGTGGGTTACCAGAACATCTGAACCAATCCCTTTCCAAGGATGCCTTTGTTGTTTCCATATACCCTTGCTACATAATTCGTTTCCTTATTGGATCAGTATTAGCTAGGCGACTATACTTTAATCCTATAGGTTGATTGTAGTTTGACCACATTGTGAGTTTTGCTGTATAAATTACCCCTGACAAAGGTCCTCAGTGGCCACACATTCCTCGGACCCCTTTTTGAAATCCAGAAGTTTTCTTCTGGTTTCCAGTAAAACTCTCCTAACTTCCTCCTTTAGTTCGAAATATCATTTCTTGATGTGAGACCAAAAATTAGGCATATCTGACATCTAACAGGTTGGGAGTGATTTTTCCCATAACAAATACAGTTGTGAAATCAGACATTAACATCCTATAATACAGACAAAAATTTAAATAGTTTAAAATATACAGAAGGAAAAAAATCTGAGGTGTAGTTTCAGTTTGCTAGCCTTTTTCTGTTTTGGTTTTTACTAATTTGCAAGCATAATGACATTAATATATTTAGCACATTGATTGGGATAATCTTTTTAAATTTTCTGTTTGTTTGTTTAGAAACAGGGTCTCTCTATGTAGTTCAGGCTGGACTTGAACTCACTATATATCCCAGGCTGGCCTCAAACTTGTGGTGATCCTCCTTCCAAGTGGTGGGATTCCATGGTGGGTGCCACCATGCTAGCTGGTTAGGATAATCTTAATAGCAATTTAGAGGAAACAGGAACTGGAAAGGAGAAAATGATATCAATTTGATTTGTAAGAAGAGACTGAAGATAGAAGTGAGGTAATTGATGCATCTAAAAGACAGTCATGGCCAAATAAAAAAATGGCTGTCCTATTTCAAATAGAACTACAGGGAAGTTTGGCTTTAGTGGAGTTAGTGATACATTGGAATACAAATATAGGAAGTAAAGTATTAGGAAGGAATGGTAAGATAATGGGTTAGAGATGGAAAAGATTTAGAATTAGTTTTTGCGTTAAGTTACAAACAGGATAAAGATTTCTGAATAACAGCAGTGAAATGATTACTACGGAGCAGATAGGAAAAGTATTGTTTAGTTAAAAACTTGACAGATTGCTTTGAATCATCCATAGAATTTCCCTTCTCTGCTATATAACTTCGGAAATTAAATTTGTATGTAAAAAAATAATGTAATTAGTTTTCAGTCTACGTAGTACACGTTACATACTTTTATCCTGTTTGCCTTCCAGAAGCTCTGTGACCATAATATACTTCTGGAGTGACATATACATGAAATAAAGTAGTATATTTGTATGCCAAAGTATTCAAAACACAGTTTTTTTCTTTTGGCACTTGTAAAAATGCATATAATGTGCCCTTCTATGGTTATAGGATTTCAGTAGAAGGTGGCCAATTTTAATTTATTTTATAATATAACTAAAAGTTATATGACATTACTCTGTTCCTGTTAAAGATTTTAAAATACTTTAAGAAATTCATGGAAGGGTTTTGTTACACTGAGCTGTACCACTAGTCATTAGATTAGTGTATTTTGCTAAAGGCTTTAAGATTTTGTGTAAAGATTTAGTTTATACCCCCAATTGCTAATTAATTAGTTTTAGAAGTATGTTAGATATAAGAATGGGAGCTAAGTGCTGAGGATGGAAGAGAAAAGCAAAGGATAGGGAATTATCATTTATTAAGTATGCTCTATGTGCTTGGGACCCAGTGTATTATACTTCATCCCTGATTCTCAAAACAAACTTTTATAAGTTGATGTAGGTAACTGAATTTTATAGGTAATATAATGAAATCGTAAGAGGTTAAATGCACAAGTCTGACTCCAGGGCTTCTATTATTTCCATCATAACATTAGGTGAGAAGTATATATGTGTGTATATATGTTTGTGATAAACAAAAGCAAACAGTGGTTAGTTAGCCAACTGCTGCAGCTATATTTTGAGGTTAATAACATTTTCCCCTAGGAAAATTGTATCGCCTTATATAATCAAAAGTGGACACACTGTAGAGATTAAAGACAACTGTAATCAGTAAACCATTATGAGAAATTACAAATAACCCCTGCTTTTAAACTATGAAGTTTTTTAAGTTATAAAGCCAAAAAACCCCAAACCAAACAAAACCAAACTATAAAGTTCATATTCATACATACCTTTTTAGTTGTGAAGGAACAAAGCTGGAAAGAATACACATTGATATGGTGGGATTTTAAAAAGTCATTTATGATGAGCACCAGACTAATCTTATTACTCTGTTTCAAGTATGCTAGTGCTTCTTATCTTATTTAGAATAAAATGTAAATGGCTACTACTCACTGTAAAACCCTATGTAAAGTTCCACCTATATATTCTCGCCTCTCTTCTCCTAACTATGCAAGCCATAATGGCCTTCTTAGTGTTCTTCTCTAGGTCAAACTCTTTTAGATTTCAGGGCTTTTGTATGCACTGAAACTTTTTTTCCAACTTCTGTAATTTTGATTTTCTACGCAGTAGTCTCCTCAGGGAGTCACTTTCAGAATACTACTCTATTCTGATACTGTGTTTCTATCTTCATGGTACTTAACTAGTATCTGAAATTAACTTATTTATTATTTATTTAAATGCTTACAATCTTTTTTATGTTCCTTAGAATCTGAGTCAATTTTCCAGTCACCTGTGTATGTCAGAGCACTACTACACTCGAGTAAATAATTTAACAATGTTTTGAATGAGTGAACTTTTTTTTTCCATTTCTGGGGATTGAACTCTCAGGCTGAGCTATATCCCAGCTTTTTTATTTTTTATTTTGAGAGAGGGTCTTGCTAAGTCACTATGTTGACTAGACTGGACTCAAATTTAAGAACCTCCTGTCTCAGCTTCTCAGAGTGCTAGGATTACAGGTGTACGTCACAACACCCAACTATGGATCACCTTACGTTTATTGACATAAAAACATTTTAAAGAAAAATCCCAAGGATTCTCCAAAAGAATTTCTAGAATGAATAAATCAATTCAGGAAGATTTCAGAATACAGGACAGTAAACAAAGGTCAATTGTAATTTCATTTACTAGCAATGAGCACATAGATACCAAAATTAGGGGCTGGGGATTTGCTCAGTGGCACAGCACCTGCCTGGCAAGTGCGAGGTTGTGAGTTTGATTCCCTGTACCTGAAAAAAAAAACAAACAAAAAACAAAAAAACCCCCACCAAAATTAAAAATATATTACCCTGTATTGCTCAGAATCAAAGTTACTTCAGTGTAAATCTAACAAAACATATACAAGAATGGTATGATGAAAGTAACAAAACATGAAAGACATCAGAAAAGATCAAAATAATTGATAGTGTGCATGGATTGGAGGAGTCAGCATAGTACTATTAATTATACCCAGAATGAAATGAAGACTTCATGTGATCCCAGGAAAAAAAAATAGCAAGAAACCAGAATAACTGCAGTTCTAAAAAGTAAGAAATATATGAGAGGGATCAATCTACCTGAATTTAAAACTGCTTATATGGTACAGTAATCAAAGCAGTTTGTTATTGGCAGAAGAGTAGATACATAGATCACTGGAACAGATTACAGTACTCAAAAACTGACACACATAAATATACTCAACTGATTTTTGATAAAAGGAACAAAAGCCATTCAATGTAAGAAGAATAGTCTTTTCAATAAATAATGCTAGAGTAATCAGATAGGTAAAAACCTTAGAATAAGCCTCAAGCCTTATATAAAAACTCAAAATGGACCATTGATTTAACTGTAAAGCATAAAAACCAAAACACTATAAGAAAATAGGACAAGAAAGGCATGGTGATGCATACCTATAATCC